CCTGCCATAATTCCATGCTGATAGCACTGTCCAACTGAACAAGTCTGGTTTCCAAATGCATGGACTGGCTCTCTGGATTATTAAGATTGATTGCTGTGCTCTGGTTATGGTGACGTTGAATTTGTGACAAGTGCATTCTCAAATTGTCACACAGCTTACGGAATTCAGCCTTACGAGTGTACTGGAGGCAGAATTTGAAAGCTATAGGCGTAATTAATTATAAGATATATTAGGTACTTTCCACCATCACTAAGTATTTGAATTACTTTTATTTCAAATATTAAAATCAGTTATTTTAACAAGATTTACCAAACTTATAATCAGTCTTTAGAAATGGTAAGTCCTTGGTCACTTCATCATGTGTCCTGACCATCTTTTGGACATAGTCCTGGCCCAGAACTAGAATTTGGTGCTGGGGTTCTAGGAGAGTTTACAAACGGGAAACTATTCAAATTAAGGTGTAGGAGGGACTCCCCTTTCAAACACCTACCACTTCAAATCCTAAAAGAACAAAAAATTCTAGCCTGAAATATAAAGAGCCTTGCTATCTAACTGTGGGCTTATGGTAACCTGATTTCAACTGTGTACATAGATGCATGCTTTAACTACTTGCTGTCATTAAAATAATTTTCTACTGTCATATATGCAATATAACAATTGTTTCAGAATTCCTTTGCTCTTAAAAAAGAGATTTCTATTTCAACAGGCCCAAAACAAAGGGATGCAGCTTAACTTCAAGTTAACATTTATTATCAGTAGTTATCAAAAGCCCCAAGTGTACTTGTGTTCAATGAAAATTCACATATGCTAGCCATGTAGGCAAAACTGAACACAGGTTCTAATGCTCATAATAAAATATTCTTACAGTCACTCACAACTTGAATAAACAAATGCCAATCGTCCCGCATATTGAAAAGAATGGCAATACAAAGTTGTATTAAGGCAAAGTAAGAGAAAGCCAAAAGCCACTCTCAAGTCACATATATTCCATTCATATATAGTTAAAAAGCTGCATTAACAGCAAGTGACAGTAAGGAAAAGATACAAGATTAAGAAAATGAACTTCATTTGGTTCAGGATTCAAAGTACAGTTAATCCTTAAACAAGAGTTTGAACTACATAGGTACACTAACGTATAAATTTTTTTGATACAGTACTGTAAATTTTCTCTTCCTTATGATTTTAACACTTTCTTTTCTCTAGCTTACCTGTTTTAAGAATACAGTAATATAACACATATAACATACAAAATATGTGTTAATCAACTGTTTATGTTACCAGTAAGGCTTCTGGTTAACAAGAGGCTATTAGTAGTTAAGGTTTTGGGTAGTCAAGTCATAGGTGCATTTTCAACTGTGCAGGAGTGGAAGCAAAGGGGTGTGTCCGTCAGCACCTCTAACAACTGCCCCCCCAAGTTGTTCAAGCATCAATTGTATATACACTGTAACAACCGGATACTTTTTATGACGATCCTGAGTCATCAAAATGACTTAGTTCTATATTCAGTGATACTGTTTAAGAAAATAAAACTATGTATTTTTCAAGGAATCCTAGAAGTCCAAAGCTTAAAAAGACCTCATAAACCCATGGCATGGTTGAGAATATGTAGTAGTGAAGTCAAAAGAAGAACTCAAGTTTATCAGAAAGCAAAAAGTTCCATTTGTTTTTAGTCACCTGGAAAATCCCAAAATGACTTTGTCTTTCAGATATTCGTGAAGTGGATTTCATATAGAATTACCTTAACAAGTAAAACAAATTTCTTATAGTCACTTATTTAATATTTAAATGAATGCCAATCATCTTTCAATAAAGCTAAAAACTATAAAATAAGTACTGTGGGAAAAAACAGGTTAACCTTGTCCATCTTTTGCAAAATCTTTCCCTAAAAGTCAACTTTTCAAATCCAGTTTTCATCTTACCTTGTTGGGCAATATCATGGTAGAGACGCTCTACTCTGGAATTGTTTCGAAGAAGGTCCAAACACTGTCTATATGATTCCCAAAGGAATTTAACCCATGGAGTTAAAAGTAATCTGTCAGTACGATCCTGAGTGTCTTCACCACTTACAGCACTTAGGAGAACACTCTCAGGAGTTTGAATATTATCCAGATCTTCTATGTCTAGGACCATCTGCTGAGATTCTTCTTTAGCAGCTTCAGTTTTTTCCTCTGCCAATTTCAAATATGCCCTAACAACATCCTCTAGAGATTTGATGTTCACCTAACCAAAAAGAGAGAACGCCTTAAAACACTTTTTCAGCAAACCATAAAATATTTTAAGAGCAAATTTTAGGATATAAACCATATTATAACTCTGGAAAGTAAACTCATCTGACAGTTACTAAAAGCACTTTTTAAAAATATAAAACCTAGCTCTTTTCATACCTGTTGACAAATGTTCTTATACTGGTATAATCCCTCTTTAGCCAAATGGCTCTTGCGAAGATCCACGCAAAGTTCCAAGTATTTCAACATAATCGGCTCGTGTATCTTTTGCCATGTTCTGTGTTTCTTACTTTTCATAACATCATAAAGCACATCCAAAGCAGGCTGCTTTTTTCCAACCTCAAGAAATTCGTTGGCGCACTTGAGGGCATTTTCCGGTCTCTGGAAATAGGCCGGCATCTTGGCGGCAGGCTCAGCTCACCCGGCGTCAGCGAACTCCTTAGTGGCCCGGGCCGGGAGAGGAGACGAAGGGGAACCAGCACGAGGTTCCACGCGCCTCGCCTGCAGTCGCCCGCGCCCAGCCGGCCAGAGACGGAAAGGTTAAGCCATTAGCTATTTAAGAATATGTTGTTTAATTTTTATGTATTTGTGAATTTTCTAAATTTTCTTCTGTTATTGATTTGTAATTTTATTCCACTTTTTTTTAAGAAAAACATACTTTGCATGATTTCAAAACTTTTAACTTTATTAAGGCTTGTTTTATGACCTAACATATTGTTTACCCTAAACAATTTTCCATATGCATATAAGAATGTGTATTTTTCTTTGTTGAGTGAAGTGTTCTACATCTAGATGTCTGTTAAGTATATCTGGTACATAGTGTTATTAAAAGCTACTATTTCCTTTATAATAGGCAGTCTAGTTTTTTTATTTTTGAAAGTGGACTATTGAATCTCTGATTACTTTGCTGAATTACATTTTTCTTCCTCAAATTCTGAAAGATTTGAATTTATTTCCTTCATTAACCTCTTGTTGGGTACATATATGTTTGTAATCATTATAACTTCTTGATAGATTGACCATTTAATCATCATAAAATATTCTTTGTCTCTAGTAACAGTTTTTGTCTTAAAGTCTATTTTGCCTGATATTAGTATAGCCACGCCAGCTGTCTTTTGGTTGCTCTTTGCATGGTATATCTTTTTCCATCCCTGCACCTTTTAGCTATTAGTGGCTTTTAATCTAAAATGCCCTTCCTGCAGACCATATATAAGATAATCATTTTTTTAAATTGAAGTAAAAGTAACACACAATATTATATTAGTTTGAGGTGTACAACATATTGATTTGACAATTCTATACATTACTCAATAGTCACCATGATTAGTCACCGTCTGTCACCATACAACATTACTACAATAAGTAGGAGGCGCAGCAGAGGGAGAGGGGAGAAGCAGGCTCCCCATTGAGCAGGGAGCCTGACACAGAGCTGGATTCCAGGACCCCAAGATCATGACCTGAGCCAAAGTCAAATGCTTAACTGACTGAGCCACCCAGGTGTCCCAAGAGTTTGTCTTTAAAAAAATAAAATCCATTCTGCCAGACATTGCTTTTTGATTGGAGTGTGTAATCCATTTATATTTAATGTATTTACTTAGATGTAGGATTTGTGTCTACCATTTTCCTATTTGTTTTCCATATGTCTTACACTTTTTAAAGATTCTTCATTATGATTATCATTTATGTTAAACAGATTTTTTCTAATGAACCATTTTAATTTCCTTTTTCTTTTATTATTTTTAAAATTTCTTTTGCATTGTTTTCTTAGTGGGTATTCTAAGGATTACAATTAACATTACAACTAATTATAATAGGTTTGGATTAATAATAACTTAATATTAGTAGTATACAAAATTTTACTTCCAAGGAAATCTGTTCATTCTCTCTTCATTCATGCCATTATTGTCATACAAATTATATCTTTATATGTTTTATTCACTCTGACTCTTGTCATTATTGATTTGTGCAGTTTTCTTTTAAATCAAGTAAGAGAAAATAGTATGACTAATAACAATAAATAATTTATACTACATATGTAGTTACATTAACTAGTACTCTTTTTTACTTCATGTGGATCCTAATTACTATATGTTGTCTTTTTATTTAAACATAGAGCATTCTCCTTACTATTTCTCATAAGGAAGATTTGCTAGGGAAAAATTCTCCCTGTTTTTATCCACGAATGACTTTTTTTCTCAAGGATAGTTTTGCTGGCTTTGTTAATTTTTCTTTGTTCTTTCTGTTTCTAAAATTAGATAATCTCAACTGACCTATCTTCACATTTGCTTATTCTTTATACTGCCTACATGCATCTGTGCTGAGCCACTCCTGTGAAGCTTTTGTTATTTTAATTTTTAACTTTAGAATTTCCATTTTAAAAATAGTTTTATCACTTTGTTGATATTTTATATTTGGTGAGACACTGACCTCAAATGTTCTTTTATTTTTTTAGACATCATTGCCTTTGGTTGTTTGAGCATTTAAAATTGCTGATTTAAAGTCTTTGTGTAATAAGTCTAACATTTGTGCTTCCTCAGGAGCACCCTCTGTAGATTGATTATTTTTCCTTTATAGGGACCATATGTTTTTGTTTCTTTGCATGTCTCATGTTTTTGTTTCTTTGCATGTCTCATATTTTTGTGCTCTTGTTGAAAACTGGTATATTTTAAATAATATGTGTAACTCTGAAGATCAAATTCTATTCCCTCTCGAGTTTGGTTTTGCTGCCATTTTGCTGTTGTTGTTGTTGTGGCTGTGTATTGGTTTAGGGACTTTTTCAATATAATTCTTTAAAATCTGTATTCTTTGTAGTATCTGGACACTGAAGTGTTTCCTCATTTAGTTTAGTGGTCAGCTAATAATTTGGACAGAAATTTCCTTAAATACATGAAACTAAAATCTTTTAGTCTTTGCTAAGATATTCTGTGTGCTTGTCAGCATTTAGCCAGGCAGTTGATGACTGCATTAGCCTTCACTTCTTGTTTGTTCAGAACCTTAATATCACATAGACGTGAGCACTTGGGGTCTTCTCCTATCTTTCCTGAACATGTACACACCCTGGCAAGAACACTGTCCTATATATGCCTGTAACCTTCCACTTTCTCAGGAATATGCCATGGCTTTTCAATGTACTGTCAATATCTAAATCTCCAGCTATTTCTTTTAAGTTTTTTGGTTAGCTTATGATTTGTTCCAACTGCTATTTACCACCTAAGGCAGCCATAATATTGAACAATTGCCTCCAGAGGTTTTCAACAAATGCAAGGGTATTTATACTAGGTATGCTTTGAGTCAGGTAAAATAAAGATAGCTCTAACAATAGGATTTTTATGGAAACTAGCAGACAAGTCAAATATAGTAAATTTTCTGGGAATGAGGCTTTGAGGAAGCACTAACCTTGTTCTTCTACCACTTGGGAACTGGCTGCTAATTTTCATTGGTTTTCTATAGACCATTGGATTTCAAGCAATGACAGAGCTGGAAAGAGGGGGATGGAAATAGGGGAAAATTGAAATATAGCAAAGCTTGCTGTTCTTATCAAGATTCAACAGTTTTTCTAGGAAATAAAAAACACTCCCTATATTGCTTCAAGCCTTTGGTTAATTTCTAGAGTTCTGAAAAAAAAAAAAGATTCTGACAATATCACCAGGTTGTCATTGCTTTTATGGAGGAGATAATTTTCAGAATTCTTTACTCTGTCATTTTTGTTGAATTTATTATCTCTCTTTCATTTTTTGAAGAACAATTTTACTGGATATAGAATTCTTGGGTAATAGTTTTGTTTTTGTTTTTTTTCTTTCAGATATTTGAATTTGTTCTCCCACTGCCTCTAGCCTCCTTGATATCTGATAAGAAGTCAGCTGTTAGTCTTATTTAGGATTTCTTGTACAAAATGAATCACTTCTCTCTTGTAGCTTTCAAGATTTACTTTTTGTCTTTGTATTTCAGGAGTTTGACTATGAGGCTCCTAAGCATAGCTATATTTGAGTTTATCCTACTTTGAGTTTGTTGAACTGCTAGTATATGTAGATTAATGTTTTTTCATTAATTTGGAGAGGTTTGGCCGTTATTTCTTTACTTCTTTTCTCTCCTTCTGGGATACACATTATGCCTATTTTGATGTGCTTGTTATTGCAGATCCTTCAGGCTCTCTTCATTTTTCTTCATTCTTTTTTTCTTTTTGTTCTTCAGACCAAATCATCTCAATTGATCTATTTTCAAATTTTTTCTTCTGTCAGCTGAAATCTGCTTTTGAGTCCCTCTAGTGAATTTTACATTTCAGTTATTATACTTTTCAATTCTAGAAATACTATTTAGTTGTTTTTTATTATAATAATCTCTACATCTTTTTTTTAAAGATTTTTATTTATTTATTTATTTGACAGAGAGAGAGAGAAAGCACAGGGAGGGGAAGCAGCAGAAGGAAAGAGAGAAGCAGGCTGCCCAACTTGGGACTTGATCCCAGGACTGCAGGATCATGACCTGAGCTGAAGGCAGACACTTAACCAACTGAGCCACCCAGGCACCCCAATAATCTTTACATCTTAATTAGTGTTGTCTATTTGGTAAAACCTTGCTTTAATAATTTCCTTTAATTCTTTAGAAATGATTTTCTGTAGTTTTTAAACATATTTTTTAAGATTTCATTTATTTATTTGAGAGAGGGAGAGAGAGA